TCGGGTTCACTAGGCCTGGCTGAGTTAACTCCGGCGTTGAAAACATCGGTCCTGCCATTTGGGTCACTTCGTGACGAGTTGGTGACGGAATGACTATGATCTCTGGATGCCGCTCTCCGCCACTCTGTCCTGTTGAAGTGGCCGGTCCATGCTGTCGTTGGGCTTGAAACCCGTCAAAAATACTCCGTCTCCTGCTTTGCATGATGCCGGACGGACCGGGGTCACCACGAGTTCTGCTTCTATAGTGAGGGAGGTATGGCTCCGTTAGGGCTGATGCGCCTGTCGTCATTGGTAGACTTTGAGTGGCAGTCTGCAAACCTGTCCTTCTTGCTTCAAGACGTAATGATTCCGGGAAGAAGCAAGTCGGAATGCTGGGGATGGGGGTCGTTTCAGGGACGAGCGGTGTGTACGGTATCACTTGAGAGATGACGGTGGGTTGTGATTCCTCGGCGGGTGAGAGGCCCAATGTGAGGGAGATGGGCTCGGAAGTGACAATGGGTGCATCCGTCACCGCCGGAGTAGATTCCAAATCAAGCCTAGTGACCACGGGCATAAGATCGTTTCTTCGGTTACTCCTGGAGTTGGATGCGATTGAAACTGCTGACTGAACTTGGGACCGGAGCAGATCGTTTTCTCGCTGGAGATGTGCCATCCTTTCCGCCAATTCTCGACGAAATTCCGCTCGAACTGTCTCCATTTGAGTGTGGATCTCCTTTAACAAGGGGTTGTTTTCGGCCATGATTGATGATCTTTCTCTTGCACGATGCCCCACGGTGGGCGCCAAATTGTTTAAGCAGAAAATAATTATTCTAATAACAATCTAATTGTGAGATAGGGAATCGTACAAGATAATTTTCGAAGAATGTATGATCAACGGATGAATCTCTAAATGAAAAACGAGAATGAGTCTATTGAGTTAGCCATTAAATCATGCCTCTTCTCCTCCATTGCTAGTCTATTTAAAATAAAAATCTAATTCTATCCCCCACGTGGGTGAACTGCCCGGCGAAATGGTAGCATTTCCTATTAAAGCGGGAGTCGTTCCTCCATTCTCTCCTCAATCTCTTAGGCATCCTTATCCATCCTGTCACCTTATTTAATTAAGCCGGACTCTTTAAAACTCTTACGGCTACGTGGGCCGATCCGCTTGACAAATCCAGGCCCAACATTGATCTTTCCACATCTTCAACAAGATCCGTGAAAGAAAGTGTCCTCTGGAGCATTAATTTCGTGGGTTCAAAGTTCCTTAACCGTGCTGAGATCTTCCGGATGGTCTTCTCCGGTCCATTTGAATGGATCATTATCTCTGAATCCACTCCTCTCAATCTGTTAGCTTGAACAGTACCTGAAATTTGCAATGTGAATCAAAAGTCAATGTTCAGTTCTCGTTTCTGTATTTTTTTGAACATACAAAAAGTAAGACTTTAGAGTTTAGACTAATCTTGTTAGAGTGGAATCAAAGTATTCATAATCACAACCCAACTTTTCGTAATTAGACTATTCAAACAGTCAGCTGACTACTCGCCTGAATTGTTAGAAAGTTATTGCAAAACAAAGAAGCTAGAGCAAAATAAGCTGAAATTGCAGTTATTATGACAGTGACCAACCCCACATTTCATATGAACTACTACTTAAATTCAGCATCGAAACCTAAGAATGAACATTGCAAATATTAACTTATCTTGAAAATTTCACAACTACTAAAAAGAAAGGCTGACCTGGTACTGAATAGCAGAGCAGTGATGGCTTTTCTTGCTTGCTCAAGAAGAAGAAAGAAAGCCTTGACTTTCCAACTAACGGACCAGAAAAAGGTATTTTTATGTGTATAATAATAACTATAATAAGTACCCGCCCGCTTTAACACGCAAAACTAAACAATGACAGAAAATCCAGTCTAAGTTGACCGAAGCTTTCAACTACGTTTTTGGGACGGGGACGGCTATTTTACCCTTTTGAATGTCCAACCACCCCAAAACATAATGAAGAGTGGACTCTCCAAAGTAGAAAAAGCAATGGAATTTTGATAATGTTTGATACATGAAGGATTGATATTAACAAAATTGAGTTTGTGTAATTTGTGTTATAAAATGAGGGATGAACATCACTCTCTCCATACAATCCATGTCATTTGCCACTCCACTTATCTTTTTTCTTAAAATTATTATCTTTTTTTATATATAATCTGATTTTCACAAAAATATTTCTGATTTAATAATTTTTTATTATCTTTCTAATGGTATCCATATTGCATATAAAAAATTGAAAACAAAAAACTTTTTTTTTCTTAAATCTATTTTTAGTCGGATTTTTTTTTTCCACGTTTAATATTGATATCGTATGAAAGATCATAAAAATAAAAAATATTGATATAATTTTTGAAAATATTGAACAAAAAATGAAAAAATTATAACAATTGAAAAGGTTTAAACAATTGTCATGCCATGTGACAGCCCAATAGGGTGGGGTGATGTTCATCCTCTTTAGAGGGGGTGAACAAAATTATTCTCTCATTTACAAGTCCTAAAATATTGTACCCAATAAAGTGAACATTTCCATATATTCTTTGCTAAAAATCATTTTGAAATAAATGAGAAAGTATCGCTGAAACTCTCTAGAACAAGCTTTGGGTGTGTTTGTCATTTAGCAATTAGCGCTTAGCGAATAGCAGATTGTGTTGGCGGGTTGTCAATAGCAGATTCAGTCAGCGAATTTGACTAACGGAATAAGTTGGCGGATTGTCAAATGATGTTTGGTAATTTAGATGTTTGGTCATAAAAATAGTAGAAAGCGTTTCAAAACGCTAACCCAAAACTCTCATATTTGCAGCGTTTCCATTTTAACGGTTTCATCCAAAAACGCTAGTGCTGAATAGCTATTTACCAAACAACGTTTTCGCTGTTTGAGAACGCTAAAAGTGGTAAAACCGTCTTTTTTTGCTAAAACATCATTTATCAAACACCCCCTTTGTGTAAGTAATTTCCACACCGGAAATATTAAGCAAAGTTGAAGACTTTTAATAAGCCAAATATTGGGTTGCATATTTGGGATTTTGGGTCCCCAAGGAGTACCCAAATTTTGTAATCAGGGAAGACGAGCATGCGATAAGCATGAAATTATATCTCAAACGCGCATTGTCGTCCTATCGACCGGGTGAATTTTAGCTAGGCCCGTGTCTTGATCTGCCGCCCGCATATGTTGCTTAAAAATGTTTATACATCTTCTTGCCTCCTCTTTTAATCATCCAAAAATCTTCCATGTAATCTACTATTTTCTTCCTTCGCTCTAGGAAAATCTATTGCACATTTGAGTTCGCCGGTGTCTTTCGGGAATGCATAAACCGTTCTATTCTGATAGATGTTTGATAGTTTATGTCATAGCCCAATTCTGTCTTAAGGATATCACATCCATTTTTGGGCTCGGTTTCATCTCTTTATTTCTATTTACTTTTATTTTATTACTGCATACAAAATTTGTCGAAGAATTGATATGGAAATGATAAAGTAAGAACGATTTATAGTCACACAAACACTATTAAATTTGGTATGTGAAACGGTCAAAAGAATCTTAGCAGGATGGTGAAAATAATTATTAGATAAGTACGATAAAAAAATTGTATTGCATAAATGAAATTTAAATATATTTTCAAAATTATTCAATAAATGAGAGAATTAAGTAAATAGAATAAATTTGATCACATAAATAGTTATTAGTACATACATTCCTACATAATACTCCTCTCCGGAACAATCAATTTTCTTTTTATTTCTTCCTAAAATAATTGTCATATTAGTATTTTAAATTAAATTTGTGATACATATTATTTCACTTTTGTATTCAAATCTCAATACTCCTTAAGTTTATGTGAGAAAGTAAACTAGACACTTAATTTAACGTGTGTACTTACGAAAGCGGATATGACTATATGAGGTCACCACTCACAAGGGATTACTTTTACAAAAGTGAATTCTTGTGTTACTTATTTTTTGGAAGTGAAGCTCCCTAATTAAATATTCCCTTCTATCCCCTTTTGGGGAGTATATGTTTTACTTTCTTTGTTGCGTTGTTCCAAGATATTTTGTTTGCTTTATAATAAATAATTATCTAATTCATATGAATCATAATTTTCACTTTTCAATCACAATTTTTATTTTCCAATCAGAGTGTCAAATCGAAACAAGGCGTATAAAATGGGACAGATATAATAATTAAAGATTTAAAGGTGAGATAAAAATGAGAAATATTTATAGAATTATAGGAAATCCCCCACCCTTCCACAAACAACGGAACAAATAGGGGTGGACTCGGGCCGGGCCAACCGGCCCGGAACCGGACCGGCCCGCTACTGTGTGGGCCCGGCCCGGTGAACCGGTTCCGGGCCCGGTGGGATGGCGGTTCGGGCTCAGGCCCTTCAAAAGGTGAACCGGCCCGGCCGGTTCGGGCCCGGGCCAATTTTTTTTTTTTTTGAATTTTTTTTTGTTTTTGGGTTGGGTTGGGTATTTTGGATCATTTGAGGTGGTTATGGTTGGTTTGGGGGTGAGGGGGAGGGTTGGGGGTTAACTAGGAAAAGCCAAAAAAAAAAAATAGAACCGAGACCCAGCCCGGACACGGGGGTTACCCGGGCCGGTTCCGGGCCTCCCCTTCTTGAACCGAGGCCCGAACCAGGCCCAAACCGGTCCATGCCTAGGAACAAAAGCATCGACCATAAGTCAATGGAACTGAACTGGGAGATCAGTACAGATCGAACTCGGTCCCAACAAACAGAAACCGGGACCACTAGTCCACTACCCACTTACCGGACCCTAGCGTCAGCCCACAGCCTGAATCAGAACACTCCCGAGAACAGGACTGAAGTAAAATCCATTTTCAAAGCTAAACTTGAGCCCAAAAAAGTCCACCGGTAGCTGTTCAACCAAATTTAGTTGACTTCTGTGTTGAGTTTTGATCGGTTCAATGTTTAATGTTTTGTGAGTTGTGACGAGTAAACTGGAAATGCTTCAAACTGCACATACAACAAAAGACAACCAGAGGTGTTCGTATTCAATTCTTTCTTATTACAATAAAATAATGCCAACACATTATTATACCCTTTTTGTCAGTTCACACAAGAACGAATTGATAGCTGCAACTCTGGAAGTTGAAAAAACTCTTGACTTTCAATTTCATACTATAGAAGAAATGTCAAACACAGAAAACATTTTCCATTTACTGAAAATTTCTAAATCTGATTCTATTTGGAAAGAAAATCACAATAACAATTAATGTCAAACACCCTCAAATCAACGATGCCAACCAGCAGGCAGCAGTCCAACTGTAGTGCATCACGTGATATAAGCAGATCCATTTTAGAGTCTTCCATGTGTGAACATGGTGTCAGGCGTTGAAAGTAAAGGGTTTTTTTGGCGGTCAAGTGATGCGTATGAGAAGCACGACCATAACAAAGATGCAGGTCATAACAAAGATCATAAGCCATGTGAAGCAAGTGGTCTTGAAACTCTGCGAGTACACTTTCATGGCACGAACATTAGCATTCCCTGTACTCGCCAAGCTACGCTCAACAGCTTTCTCTGTTGAATCAAGTATCTGCACCACCCAAAGGATTCCCAAAGGTTTTGAAGTCAAGACAAAATGGATATGGACGGACTGAGCAAAAATAAAGGCAAAAGAAATTGATAAGTCATCATCGCCTTATGTACTGTTGTTTACTGCTTTTCGAGGTGAATAATCCTTATTTGAACGAAATATCTAGTCATATCTAACTATTCATTTATCCATTTGAGCCCCTATTTATGTCAGTTTAAAGCTAAATTAAAATGATAAATCTTTATAAATAGATAATTTAAAATTTTGGAGTCATCTTATAGATCAAAATATCTAAAAACAGTGTTGAAGAATAAAAATGGCATCTAGTTGTAAATTTGATCATATACAAGTTTAGGATCATTCACTTGACCCTTACTATGCCATCGGAATGCTAGATTCAATGTTCTACAACAGTAAATGAGACTAAAATTTCCTAATTCTATGTTCTTCGAAGTTCAATTATGGTCTCACCTCATTTAGTTGCAAAGAGCTTAGTTTCACTGTGGAGGAACTCAAATGACCCAATTCTGGAGATTCTCCGAATCTAAGGTTAAAGTTCTCTTTAAAGGTGCTTTTGTTAAGCCTGCTTAAATTTGTCTCCATTCAAACACCAATTTATTTGATACAGCCAAAGTAACCTGATAACTATCCAAACAACGTCTTAGTATTTACACTTGGTTCACCTAGGTTGACCCATATTTTATTGAACTAGTTCACTTTTAAGTGTCTTAAGTTCACCCTATTCAGACAGAGCCTTAATCTCCACTATCTTAGAGTCTCAAACCGTCAAACGTATATCATTAATGCTGATTCATTGTAAATAGGTCTTAAAAAGAGATAATGAGGTGGAATTTCAAGACGATATATCATAGGAAATATCACAAGAAGTTGTTATGATCATGTCCCATTACAAGATTTATATTGTAAAGTCAACATACACATCATGACATCACCAAAATAAAATCAGTTTGCAATAAAAAATGCTAAATTTGATATGATCTAAATTAAAGATATAATGTTTAAACACCACATCATGATGCAAGCAAGCTGACCTTTTCTGTATTTTTAATTGATTGGTTCATCATGAGACTACTCTCTTTGAGTTGTCGTGCCAAGACAACCATTTCATCTGTCAAGGTCTCCTGAAGTTTCCTGAAAGTTAGGGCTTTACTCATACATACATGACCAACATTATTCTGTAAACAGCAAGCTAGGATAAAATGACTACATATTTGCATTATACTATTCCTAAGGAAAAATTAAGAATCACCAAAAGAATAACCCTTTTCACAAAACTTCCAGAGCAGACATATATATCTCTTGAAATTTCTTATGAGTTTAGGATCTGTTCGTTATTTTTTTCCCAGACAAACTTTTCAAATGTTTTAGCTTTGGTTGGAAAAAGTCAGTCTGATATAAACCCGTGTTAATTAAATTAACAACAACAAAAATTGCTCAAACTTTCCCACAAACTTCCTGGCAGATTTAATCCATTGAAAATCCATCAGTAATGATATAATAAATGTTCACATAACTGGCTCTTTGCTAAATTTAAAAAATTCCAAGCACAAAGAAGAGAACCATCAAGGGAACTGGCCGGCAAAACTATACCTATGCTTATCAATGTGTGTCAACGCAGCATCATCAAGTTTGACCTGGGTAGATCGGTCCGCATCCACCTCGTCGTGAGATGTTTCCATAGTATTCAATGGGAGCCTATATTCCAATTTCAACATTATAACTCAAATCAACTCACAGAAAAAACATAAAAATATATATATATATTCATATTCACAAACACAAATCTTCTTCTCAGTCCTCCAGTAGGAGAGTGTATACTTTCCCCCTCTGTTTTATGAATTTCAACCTCAGATTTGTCAACCACATGCTCCTGAGACTCCTCCTGTTGAGGGACAATAGAGTACCCCGAATAGAAAAGGTCAAGGCAATCTAAACAACAAACTCAAAAGCAAAATAATTTTGATGGATTTTGAGATTTAACCATACATGTTTTAGATATTAAGAATAAAATAGCAAACAACACTCCAAAAACGAGAATGAACAGGCAAGTACACCACTACACCCACCACAGGTACAGCAACTTTAGCTGCAACAGCTTCAATTTTTTCAGCATATTCAGTCACTTTAGCCTTGGAGATCCTACAAAGGCATGTAAGTTATGAACTTATGACTAAATAAAGCATGTAGGGAGGATTATTATCATTTTAGTTGACTTTCTAGTGACACACTTGTACCTCACATTGGTCATGTTGAATGATAGAATCAAGCTTGTCACGGCGTCGCCTTGTCGCCGACTAGGCGTCCTGGCGCTAGGGAGTGTTCGCCGACTTCACTCGCCTCGCCAGAAGAGGAGCAGTCGCGATAGGCGTCCGCCAGGCGTCGCTTAGGCGCGATTTGCGACAAGTCGTCGCCTTTTTTTCTAGTCGAACAACAGTCCACAGGTCCAGAAAAGAATAGATTTAGGCTTTATTTTTTTAGGAAACTAATTTAAGTAAGGCTTTAGGCTTTCATAGAATATAGTAACTACAAAGAGCCTAACGGTAGTGTAAAGAGGACTACCTCTAGTCCATATTAGTGCTCCCATTTCGATTTGCAGCATTTTGATGAAGTCAAAAATTAATTTAAAAAATAAAAGGCCATCACAGGTATACTGTATTATAAAAGCTTCGATGATCACATAGACAAGATTTTAAACTGAAAAAATAGTACTCACTCTGTCCTGAATTTATCTTTAATTTTTTTTCATCCGTCGCAAGTCGCAACATAATATTTACTTAAGCTTTATAGGAGAGAATTCAATGGTTCATATTGTGTCTATCCTTCCTAAATAAATATCAGCTGACTGTTTCATTTTCTTAAGCTTGTGCTATAAGCTATTGTCGAGATAATATTGGAATGAAGAGAGCTGTAAGCATACAAACCTAGGCAGTCCTTCTGGAGTCCTTTCTTCGGCCAACTGCTCCAACAGTTCCCGCAATGTGGCAACATACTACAGAATATTGAGCAACTAACAAGAATAAACTTAAAGACATTATATACAATGATAGGATGGATATTCTGAACATGAATAGCAATTTTTCTGCTGCAGCCGTGAACTAAGCATGGCTAGCCAATTTTTAGATTCTTAGAGGCTGTAATACATGAGTAAACTAATCATCAATACAACAACAACATACAAGCCTTATTCCCAAAAGATTTTGGGGTCGGCTAAAAAAGATTAATATCCATCCAATGAAATTAAGGTTTTTGAAAGATAGTTCTGACTTCTGAGAATCGGCCATCAAAAATCAAAAGGGAAAAATAGAGAAGCTGCCTAGTTCAGTCATTCGAATAATCGTCAGTCAAGACTATTTACATCTATTCAACAGTACTACAGAACTACGATAATCTTTTCAAGACTATTTACATGCACCACACTGTCATAAAAAGCAATACTCCCTCCGTCCCATTGGACTTTGCCATCTTTCCTTTTTTGGTTGTCCCAAAAAACTTTGCCACTTTCCTATTAAAGCAACTAATTTGTGGTTCTGCACATTTCTCTCTCCTCTGCACAAATTCTAACCACACATTTTTTACTACTCTTATTTCTCACCTACTTTGCACTTGGCAAAGTCCACCGGGACGGAGGGAATACTAGAGTTGTAAATAGACTATGCATCTTCAAGTATTGAAGATTCAAAAAAATCTAGGAACTCGTTTTTTAACATTCATTCAATAATCTCAAGATATGAACCTTACTATGTTTGTTCTTTCAAGTGATACATATTAAGATTTTGCAAGGCTGTAATTGGGCTGGTGCTACTTATAGAGATGCTCGATTGATTCAGTGAGCACGCTGTTTCCTCAAGTGTACTATGGCTACTGTTAGATCTTCTAATTGGAAAAATAGAGTAATGGTAATTTGGGGGGGTATAGTCACAACTTAAATTATCGTGTTGTTGATTATATGGATAGTGCTACTCTAATTATACCACAAGATGTATTATTAGATTTCCTAAATTATTAATAAATATGATTATGATGCAATTTTGTTTTGATCCTGTGGAATGGTTGTTCTGAACTTGCGCAGGAAGTTGTGTACATTACTCCATTTGTTTCTTTAAGCATTTTGAGAACATTTGTCTGTTTTCCTATGCTTGTCTGTTTTCCTAGTTTATTCCAAAAACGATGTTCGTCTTTGTCTTTTTAGATGTGCGTTTTCTATAATGTATTAACAACCAAGTATAAAGAATATATTTTTCTTATAAACTAAACACTATACAGATTTGATTTTTGAAAAATAGTTTGATATTGTACTATTATACTAAGAAGTATGTTTTAGGAAAATTGCTTGTTTTATATTATTCAGTTGGAAAAGAACATTTCAGAAAAAAAAACTCACTCTACAAATTTCAATTTTTACATCACCACCTTGTGACTTTTTAAATGTATATAAATTTTCATGAATAAATAAATAATCCTTCAAGAAGGAAAAGCATTTTTTCTATAAAAGAGTTAGTTTTCCTTTGACTTGAAAAAAAAGTTTTCTGTTAGACGGGTTTTCTGGATGCGCCAAGCATAGGAAAACAGACAAATGTTCTCAAAATGCTTAAAGAAACAAATGGAGTAATGTACACAACTTCCTGCGCAAGTTCAGAACAACCATTCCACAGGATCAAAACAAAATTGCATCATAATCATATTCACATGCCATAGAAACTCTCGTATAAATATCAGAGAGGAACTCCACAGATAATATGCGATGTGCAATTGTGCACATGTATAAATCAAAACAACTGTCACTAAACTGAGCAACTTTTATCACAAAACTTCAACATAACTTCAAAGAACTGTCAAAAAAGAGGCAAGCAAGCTAATGATTTAGTTAATCATCAGTAGATGTAAAAGAGACTATCACTCGACATGAAAGAGTTCAATTCAACATACATGTATGAGCTTTGCTTGATTTTTCTGTTGTGGTGCAGTTTCAAGTAATCTCCTCAAATTCACTTCAGCTTTGCAAAACCCCATTATTTGTTACTCTACTAGTCCAAAAATAGAATAAACAAATAAATTTGGGAGGAAGAACAATCAGAATTCAAGAATGAAAGTATCTCAATAGTTTTATAATGCACGGAAATATGAACAGCATGGAGTTTTCTCGATTCAGAACCGTTCCTACTAAAAACTAGCAAGCCTGTGTCAGTATTTTTTGAAAACCTTGAAAGGCAGCTCCCATGAAAACCTGTGCTTCTGAAACTTCAAAGTAAAAAACCTAAATTAAAAGCTTATGGTTCAGTTATGGGCATTTTGTTGTCTTTGGTTTTAACTCCTATAAATACTCAAAACTGAAAGGAAGACTCAAACGACAAGCTCCTTCGTCGTCTTTGCCTATAGCCCATAGGTAATTCACATCTTCTACTTTTTTAGTTTATCATACTTTCTTCTTCCTTTTCTTTGTTTATTAATTATTACTATCTCCATCCCACTAACATTGCGACATGTGGAGGTGGTGCGGTTATTAAGAAAAGTTGGTTTATGGGGTTGATATTGAAGTGATAAAGAAGGAATAGAGTACGAGTGATTTAGAAAGATGGGACAATCTTAGCGGGACGAAGATAATCAGACAAAAGGTGGGAGTAGCACCTATAGAAGATAAGATGCAGGAGTCTCGTTTGCGGTGGTTTGGGCATGTGCGTAGAAGACCAAGTGATTCACCTGTTAGACGACTTGAGAGGTGGGGAGAAGAGGCAGAGAAGAGAGGGAGGGGAAGACTCAAACAGACTTGGATTAGAGAAATCAGAAGTGATATGCGTCTTCTTGGATTGGATGAGAGTATGGCTTTGGAACGAGCAAAGTGGAGGGCGCACATCCGTGTGGACGATTGATGTCTTTCCTACCTTTCATCTCTTTTTTTCTTTTATCGTTTATCTTCTTTATCTTTTCATATTCTTATGTTATTTTTATCTTCCAACTTTTTTATGCTCTTTTATTTTTTTGCTTTTATATTTCTTATATTCTTGTGTTATTGTTATCTTACATTTATTTATCTTTATTTTATTCGTTTTATCTTACTTTTTTCTTCCCTTTCTTGTCTGTCTTCTCTGTTTGGCACTGTTATCATAGATCGATTCATGTTAGCCGACCTGAAATTCTTTTGGGATTAAGGCTTGGATGTTGTTGTTGTATAGGTATCACTCAAGTCATTGGTACTGTAGCGCTTATCTTTATCTTTAATGTTTATTGCCTTTTGGTGTAGTTTTCGGCACACTTGGTGCTCATAATAGTCAAAAGTACCTTCTCTGCCATGAGATCATTTTTTGTCTCATGCTTGTCTCAAGCTAAGATAAAGGAGGAGGGTGTTGTGGTAGACGCGTGACAGCCAACAGTATTACCTAGTCACATCACATCACATCACATGAATCGAAATATCTCGCTTGCGGTGGTTTGGTCATTTGCGTAGAAGATCGAGTGATGCACATGCACCTATCAAACGAGTTGAGATGCGTGGAGAAGAGGAAGGGAAGAGAGGGAGAGAATACCAAAACAGACGTGGATTAGAGGAGTCAAAAGTGATATGTACGCAACCATACCCTTGTACTAAAGAACAGAGAGATTGTTTCTAGATATCATCCATAATTCATGACGGGACCAGCACAGGTGACTTGGGGGGCACATTAGCACAGATAATATATCATTGGTGGGGAACATTAGCAGAAATCATATATATCATGAATATAGTAATAAAAAAAAGTAAAAAATAAATAAATAAAACAACTAATTAAAGATTACCTTAATTCTGATTATAAACTGATGTGTCTAATTTTAGGATAGGAGAGGTTAGTTGACTATTACCACGAGCGTTTGAATTCATTACCATATCTATATTCCAACCAATTAAATTCTTCAAAAACCATTGCTTTCTAAATGATCTCCTACGCCCACCAAAATTAGTTTGTGGAAAACTATTTTTGTCAAACAACGTCTGCTCAAATATTCTGTAATATTAACATTATAACTGTCAATCGGACCAGGATCACCAACACTGTCATCATCCGACAATTCAACTTCTATTCGAGGTTTTTTAACATTGTTAAGAATGACATTAGCTGGCGAAGAAATTAAAATATTCCATGAAGAACCACCAATGCTCGGCCCTTTAAGAGTTGGTGTATAAAATCGTAACATAGCTAGGGATTGTTTGTCAAACAACCGAAAGACTGCAATTGAAATAATGAGTATAATTGTAAAAATTACATTATAACAAACTAAATAGACAAATCTAAAATTACAAGACAATAAACACTTTCAATGAGACTATGAGAATAGAATTGCAAAAAATACAATTTATAAATGAAAAGAAAAGTTAGATTAAGCTGCAGAGCCGCTTACCTGCAAGGTGGATATGAGAGCACCAGAGATTAAGTCGGAAATCGGAAGTAGGGCCGAAGGGGTGGTGGCTGACTCGCTGTCCGTCCTTTCGTCCGTCGTCGTCGTTGGGTTGCTCCGTGGCCGTTGCAGAGGATGGCTTCCTTGACTTCTTTCTCGTGCTTAATTCTAATCTGTGTTTAGCAATTTAGCGGGCTGCATTGCACTTCACACTTGGGTTACCACTCCTGCCAGGGCTGGGTAGATGGGTCGGCAGGGCCCGGGGGCACAGTCGCACAAAAACTAAGGCCTGTTTGGATGGTAAGTTCGGATGTTTTGGATAGTACATTTTAGTAATGGAATTGTTAGTAAGTGTTCTGAGAGACCAGAAGGGAAGGTGAATGCTACACATAATCTTAACATTGAGAGAGCTAAAACTATGATGTGTTAGTAATGAAAGTGTTTCCACTTAAATTGACAAAAATATCGTAATACCTTTTAAATTATTATTAAGTATACATAATTGCATGTAATGGCATATACGCTACTTTATGTTTACTATAAATACATGATGATATTAATAATTGTAGGTGTTGCTCCACATTGATTTAAAAAAACAATTACATAAAATAAAGTGGTACTATTCACACGGTCAACTCAAATTACTTTTAATCTTTTACTTTATATATCAAATTTTTATCAAACTTAAATTTTTTTGATCAGACTTTGTAGCGGATTTAATGTAGTTTCTGTATATGTAAATTTAATTTATTAAAAATAATCTGAGTGTGAACAGGGATCACGTTGCTTTATCGTCAGTCAAGCATCGTAAACCGAACTACGAAGATAAATATGGGACGGAGGGAGTAAAAAATATTCTCCGTATAAATATTGTACATATTGAAAATTAAAGTGTTAAAAAATTAAAATTAAATTGCCAAAATAAAAATATTCTACTTGATGGAGTATATGGCCCAGGGACCCCCCGACCCACATACTTCCACTGTTACATTCAGGCCCAATAGGCCCAAAACGGGCCAAGCCCAACAGAATGAAGCTCTAAGCAGCCCACGATGCATGAAGGGGTGCCTTCGGCCCCATGGCCGAAGGCTACCAGTGACAGAATTGGGTTCAGCAACATCACGGGAAAATAAAGCTTGAGAACCAAGACTTCGGCAATTGGAACCCTCGACACTATGATGCCCCCAGTACGCAGAGCCTTCAGACTGTCATCTACCGCCGAAGGCATCCTCCTTGACAGAATCTCTCGTCCACATGCGCTGGATCACCGTACCAAGTACAAATGTCGCATCCAACCATCGCATTTAATGCGGCCACATGCGAGTGTCAGTGTCACCCCAGTTGAGGTGACCCCTCGACCACCAGAATGCTGACATGTGTCCCTATCTAGCATTTATTGCCACTATAAATAGCTGCCCCTTTCCCTTTGTAAGACACACCTTGAATACATAACTCATATATTCGAATTCACTCTCTCTCTTACTTATTTGCTCTGACTTCTCTCTAAGTTACTCCCCACAGTACCCCCTCGAATAAGCTACCCCCGGGTACACTATCCATCATTTGGTGCTCTCGTTGAGAGGTCGAACAATCAAGTAAGAAACTCTCCCCTTCAGCTGAAAACGCATACCAAAATGGGAAGAACCACTCGTGCTCAGTCCAAGAACCTTGAGGACAACAACCTGGCCCTCGGTGAAGTCAATGCCCCCGGAGCCTCCAACAAGGCTCCCGAGGGAGGGGTCATTACTGAGTTGGAACAGGCTGCTGTTGACCTGCGCCTTCAGCTTCAGCAGAACGCTCCCGATGCCCGTCTCGGCATCGAAACCCGAAGGAGGGACCAGAGTGAGAAACAAGTGAGTCCTTCGGTTGTCACCATTGACGTACATTCGGCATTCTCCGCCATACGGACATAGCAGAATTTGTCTTTCCACCCCTTGTGAGACGAGAGGACATCGTCGAAAAGTCTGAACTCGGGGAGCTGCTGCAGGTTGGCGAAGCCTCTAGCATTTGAGTGACCCCCCCCCCCCCCCCCCGACAGAGGTTGAAGGAAAGGAAGAACTGATCTAATGTGGCCTCCACGCCCCTGCTCCGACAAAGGGAAAGGAAACCAGTCAAGTGGGAGTGGCTGTTTGGGGTCAGCTGGCAGGGGGTGAGTTTGACGAAGCGAAGGTATTGGATCACGAAGGGGTGGAGGGGGAATCAGAGGCCCAACTCCACCGAGAGTATATGTACGGCGAAGCAGCCGTTGGGGGCATGCAGTAGCACGTCATCTGGCCCCGGCTCCACCACCTGCGCTGAGGGCCCAACCAAAAACTGTGTAGCCATGTACTCCCCCTGTGTGGCTCTGGTTTTCACCTCCAAGGCAGCTGTGTTCAGGTAGGAATAGCCTTCGGAAATTCCTACTGGCTGCCCAGCGTCGACGGTGGCTTGTTTCTTCTTTGGAGCAGCCTTTGCTTTTCTATTTTTCCCGGGAGCCACGCTAATAGGCGTCGGGTCTAATGGCCGGGAGGTGCTGGCTTCTCCGGTGTTACGTGCAGGGAGGATGGCGACGATGACCTTTTGCCTCTCTTTCTCCTCTTCCTCCTTCGCAACTTGAACAGCGAGGGCTAATTCATCATCTTCTACCACTTGTTCGAATTCTTCTGCTTCCGCCTCAGTTCGAAGGTTGTCTTGGATCCTCTCGGCCACAGCGGAGTCATTGCGTACCGAGGACCGCTCATTTGAAGACTCAACGGATGAATAGCTCTCGGTCTGAGCAGACGGCTCCCTCGAGATGTCTTGGGAATCACTTTGCGAAGACATTTGTGAATGCTAGAGGTCAAAGGGTTTGAGAAAAGAAGATTTCCTAAGGGACTATAACACATAATCTAAGGCCAGAAAGCAAAATGTGCAATAATTACCAAGAACAGAGGAAGAACTGGCCTCAGGAATGGGGATTTGATCGAAGGAAATTTTCTCTCTCTATAAATATTTCGGCAGAGCTTCGCTACAATATGATCGCACAATGGATGGTTTCCAGTCTTGGGGGTATTTATAGGCCTCCCTCTTCAGGCTTGGGCCGAGAAACTGGGCCCTCGATGGAAGAATCATCATTACACACTGCCTCCTCCGCCAACCGGTGACGCGCGCCCGTGAACAGCCAACGGGTACACGCCACGTGGACATCACCTCCAATGGCTATGTCCCAACGGTCATATTCCAACGGTCATGTCTCAACGGCTCTCTTTCACGGACTAAGTTCCCTCATCTGGCACCCCTCAGACAACACTATGCATGCCTTCGGGCAATCTCCTTCAGACTCCTTTATCAAGGGGAGCCCCCGGCCTAACAACGGGAAAACCCCTCAGGACCCCTTAGCCCTCAACATGTTAAGAACCGGGGAACCCCCTCGGCAACACAGGAGCTATCACCCATATCAACATGCCCTCAACCCTCGATAACTGGGGGAATACCCTTGGCAGTCCCCAAAATGCTCACTCATGCTTATCAACTACAGACACCCTCGGAGGAGTGCTCCCAGTAGTCACCCCCCTCGGCATCACCAGGACACCAACGAAGAGCCTTTGGCAAAATCAACAATCAAACCCTCAGATCACGGATAGCTCTCGGCGGCAACATTGCTCTTCATCTCAAACCAAGGGCTCACCTTTTTTATTCATCATTGGGGGAATTCAGTGCACTCTTTTTCCCTCATTAGGATTTTTTCCCAAAGGATTTTTCTTAATGAGGTTTTTAACGAGGCATCCCCCCAAAATGAAACGAAAAGAGTCAAGCCTTCGGCCATATGCTAATAACAGGCACTACCCTACTCCTTTTCACCACATTAAATGTGCCTCAAGGAGTGGGGGACTAGAGGACCCCTCGGGAAAAATAAGAAAACGTCAAAACAATCACCATGACATCAACACAATCCTTCCAGTCCCGAATGTGGGGGACTGAGGGACTGCCCTCGACAAAATGCGCATACGAAAATTTACTCACAAACCTTACAAACTACAACAGGGCAGCATCAGAGGACAAACGCAGTTACTCCTTTTCCCTCAAGTACCTTTCGGCAAAAGGAGTGAGGGACTCCTGATGGAGTATATGGCCCAGGGACCCCCCGGCCCACATACTTCCGCTGTTACATTCAGGCTCAACAGGCCCAAAACGGGCCAAGCCCAGCAGAATGAAGCTCTAAGTAGCCTACGATGCATGAAGGGGTGCCTTCGGCCCCATGGCTGAAGGCTACCAGTGACAGAATTGGGTTCAGCAACATCACGGGAAAATAAGGGTTGAGAACCAAGCCTTCGGCAATTGGAGCCCTCGACACTATGAGGCCCCCGGTACGCAGAGCCTTCAGACTGTCATCTACAGCCGAAGGCATCCTCCTCGACAGAATCTCCCGTCCACATGCGCTGGATCACCGTACCAAGTACAAACGTCGCATCCAACCACCGCATTTAATGCGGCCACATGCGAGTGCCAGTGCCACCCCGATTGAGGTGACCCCTCGACCACCAGAATGCTGACATGTGTCCCTATCTAGCATTTATTGCCACAAAAATAGCTGCCCCTTTCCCCTTTGTAAGACACGCCTTGAATACATAACTCATATATTCGAATTCACTCTCTCTCTTACTTATTTGCTCTGACTTCTCTCTAAGTTACTCCCCGCAGAAACCCCTCGGATAAGCTACCCCCGGGTACACTATCCATCACTACTTATGGTATAGATACATATTCTAAGTGCTAAAAAATATGGATCAACACTACACACTAAACTAAATCCCCAACTTTTTAATATATTTTTCTAAGTCATGGCTCTCAATTTCAATTAAAAATTACGATTTCTCCGAAAATGTGAATTATCAGACCAAAAAAATTAATAATAAATACGGACATGGATTAAAAACATATCAATAAATAAATAAAATGTGATTACAAAATACACATGTACACTTATTTTGTGTATAAAGATACATTTATTTATGTATACCGCGTATATACTCCGTATAAGTTATTTCATTCAAAAGAAAAGGAAATGGAGTTAAATTCAAGAATGGAAATATGGAATAATAATTAAAATTTCAGAATAAATAATTACGAAATACAAATGTACACTTATTTTGTGTATAAAGATACATTTATTTATGTATACCTCGTATATACTTCGTAAAATTTCATTGAAATTTCAAAAAAAAAATCAGAATCATAATAGATGAGAAAATCAAAGAAACCCCTAGACATCTGGAACTCATGTTGCGATTTAGGTTAAGTAAAT